TTCATATGCCTGTCATATTCACAACTAATTTTAATGTTACAATCTACAGGCTGTTCTAATTGAACGTAGATGTCCTGCTGCAGTCACTGTTTCCAAGGAACATGGGCGTGACACTTTTGATACTTAACAGTTGTATTCGTTGTCAGTCATATAATAAAAACTTGATTGTTTAGGATATCGGGGCGGCATGGTGGTGCAGTGGTTAGCACTGTTGCCTCACACTACTGGGACCAGGGTTTGAATCTCTGCCATGGCTCTGTGTGTGGAGTTTGCGTGTTCTCCCTGTGCTGTCATGGGGTTTCTTCTGGGTCCCCGAGTCCAAAAAGATGCTGAGATTAACTGGAGCTACCAAATTGCCTTTAGCTGTGCCTATGTGAGTGATTGGTGTGTGACTGTGCCCTGTGATGGTTTGGCGCCCCATCCTGGGTTGTTCCCTGCCTTGCCTCTGGGGTTCCCTGAATAGGACAAGCATTTACAGAAAATGGATGGATGGATCGAGCTAAGCTCAGGAGTCTGAGGCTGTGACAGTGATCACAAACACTTGGGCTCCCATCCTCTATACTTCACACATTAAAACACTCCCACACACAAACACACGTCTCTGAGATGTTTTCCTCCTACCCTCAGGGTATTCCCATCCGATCCCTCCTCCACTCCAGCCAGCAGGCCAGCGTAAGGCTTCTCCATCAGCAGCTTCTTCAGCTTTTTCAGCCTGGGATGCTGCCTCCTCAGCTCCCAGTAATTATTGGAAAAACCCCAAACCTGTAAGAGATCGATCAGCAAACATTTAATTTCTTCCCACCTGATGAACACATCGATGAAAAGGAAGTTGTCTCAGCTGCTTGCCTGGTCTTTCACACTTATTGCATTATTTCTTTGGTGTAGTCATAATATGTAAGCAATGGATGAAAAAGATAAATAAAATGAAAATACTTGTGCATGAACAAGGTTGGGAGCAGACTGATCTCTGGGAAAATGATCAGGAGTTTCACAGCCTGGTATAAAGAGAAGCAGGTTGGAAGTATCTGCTATTTTCAGGTCATACGTCTTGTCTTCGCTGCACAGAACTGCATGCTCTTCTTTGTCTCCCCTAATAGTGAGACTGGGAGGGGAAGAGAAAAATATTCAAGAAAACTTTATTTTCTGTTATAAAATAACAGACATTCCTCTTAGACATCACTCATACGTGACAACAAAGCCATCAAATAAAATGGCAAAGCCAATAACAATACTTATTTTGGAGCATCGAGATGCTAATGCAGAGGGAATAAATGTCATTTTATATGCAATCTTCCTGGTTAGAGGAACTCTCACTGAAAAAAAAATGGTGAAGGAAGTGAGGTGGGTCCTGTGCTTTAAGAATAGCTTTCCCAGACTCATACCGAGAATGTAACTCAAAAAGTGGAAGCTGAGCTGACCGCTATCACGGCGTTAACAAATAAAAATACATTTAGTCTGATTTCTGTACATGCCATTTCTTGACGTGCATATAAATAACATCCATTTCAGTTTGCATTGGCATAAAATGCATTAAATGTTATTATTGCCTAAATCGCCTTACTCTTGCACGCATTACAAGCAGGGTTGCCACCTGTCACTTTTTATACGGGATTGTCCCGTATTGGAAAATAAACTGCTGCGTCCTGTATTATACAGGACGGGTGGAAACCCTAATTACAAGTGACAATGTCTTAAGTAACTACTCATTGACAGGATCGTGATAAAGAAACATAATTTCTGTTAAGCAAAAATGCAATTTTATAGACAGACAAAACGTCGCTATATATTTACCTCTTGCCAGCCTCTATATGCTTGCATAAAGTTTCATCAAGCTCCATAAGACAGTAATCGCCAGAGGATACGTGCTCCCCAAATGACAAGCAATGAACTGTAGGATGGAAATCCTCCTCTTTAAGTTTAGCTATTTGAAGTGTAGCCTGAACTTCTTCTATCGTTCTCATTTTCAGCTATTACCCTACAACCAAATTCAGCTACAGCTACAAGTTCCGTACGAAAATTCATAGACAAGTTCCCTTCTTTAATGTTCCCGCAATATTTTCCGGAAGCACATAACGATTGGCTGTCAGATATAATTGACATTCTCCGGAGCCAATCATATAACCATATATCTGCCCACATGACTTTTTTCCACACGGTTATTCTGTTACGACCATTACGTAACTTTCGTTGGAGAATTCTGTTACTATGCGAAAGGCGCTTTCTTCGTACGTTGCAGGCGTACGGACAAATTAGAAATTATCCACGTTTTATCTCACTAAGAAAAGTAAAGTAGGACATTTGTTATTTAATGTGGATACAGAATTTTCGTAACAGAAACAGAAAATAATAAACTCAATAATATCATATACTAAACGTATAGCTTAAGATAATGGGAAAATATTTAGAAATTTGAGGTCTTTTGCAGTTTGAATGGCAATGTTTTGATTCCTGACTGTGGCCCAAAAGTAACACATTAACTCACAAAATACATGGTATTTAGATATTGTTTTATTGGAATATGAAAACTGAGCTGTGTTGCATGCTTGCAGCCCAAGTTGAATGGCTTTGGGTGCTTAACTCTTAAAGCTGAAATGGAAGATCGGAGCCGTGGTGGTGTGTTGTAGTTCTCGTTAATTCTACATGAATCTCTTTTGTCTTAATGAATAACTATACTTCTGAAAGCCACATTTTGAATCCACAGCTTCACATATCCCAATGGCCGGAATAGTTCGTTTAGAGTTCATATAACATAATCTGGAATAAAACAGGTTATAGCCTACTGTTTCATGAAGCTTAATTTATGTCCCTTTGTACACAATGGACACTTTCAGTTATACATGCATGGGTATGATAATTGCTGTACATGAGTGTTTCTTATCAATAAGCACAAAAATCAAGTGGATGTAATCAAATTTTAACTGTGATAACTCAGTGGCTATTTGGTGTTATTTACACTATAACCCAACAGATTCCCCATGCAGGACTTGGCCAGGTGCTGCTCAGTTTAAGCTGTATACTCATGCAAAGGGAGCTGATGTATGATCAGGCCATCCGTGAGCAGTCTGAATCATAGCAAAGCCTGTCCTTATGTCTGATCTTATTTATACGGAACCTGACTTTCAAACTGCCCCAAAGAAACTGTTACCCTGAGATTGCTTACAGTAACTTTTGTGAAGTTGTGTGGATTTGCGTGGTCCTGGTGGCGGTTTATCCAGATACTCTGACCGACCACTGCTACTGATCATAAAATGCTTTTTAAGTTCTTATGATCTCTAAATTTAGTTCCCAAATTCAGTTTTAAAATACAAATATTTGTTGAAATGCTTTTCCATTAAAATCTAATTTAACATTTAATTTTTCATTTCCCAATTATAAACGTTATCAATTCTAAATCGAATAACAACAGTTCAATTGGGTTTTGCCTGTTGATTATAAACGTAAATAAGCGGATATAGAAATATGTACTACAATACGTGTAGTGAGTTACCGATAGCATCAAATTGCTTCATGCCGGCCGCTCCTTCTATACAAATCCTATAAGAAATGACCTTCCCTTCGCCATCAATACATATTGTACATTCGCGACGCTCCTTCCGAAGGACACTTTTCAGGGAGGAAAAATATCTACATATGCCACGCCTTGCTGGCCAACTCCCCCCGGTGACGGGGGCCGTAGGGCTAGCGCTGTGCAGCTCTTTAACGGCGTGCGCTGCTGGGCCGGGCGGTAAACATGTAGCTGAGAGCTGGGGATCCGCTCGTCCGATTGCATGTCTGCGTGAATCGCTAACAACTTTCATGTAAATACGTCTGCATTAAATTGTATGTGCTTCTGTCTGGTAGCATATAGACCGCTTGATCTAATCATTGTTCGGGATTCCAAGTGAGAAGGGAAGGGATACTGCTCGATTATGACTATTCTTTCCTAAACTTTTAATTTATACAATTTTGCTAAATATATTTTTTAATGCGATCGAAAGAGTAGACCGACTAAGTGGATTGTTACTTTTATGGGATGCAGGGCTGTTTAACTTTATTGTGATATTTATGCTCTCTTTCCCGAGTAGATAACTGGCAAGTTCCGTTTTTTTTGGAGTTTTGGTCAATGTCGAGTCGTTCATTTGAAGACTTTATAAATGCAGCACCTACCGTAAAGGGGATGTGTCCGTACGGCGGATCCTGGGATGAGTGGCGAACTATGGCCAAGCAGAGCCGGACAATGCATGTGCGATTTACGGACTGATCTCGCACGCAGTTACTGCTCGATTTACTTAAACCCTATTGGAATAAATTAGACTTGGTCCTTTCATTGTGCACAGATCAGTCAGCTGGAGATCGGTCCCGGTAAATCTCGACTTATTGTTTTTGCTGTCAGTGCCGGGGAGGGTGGGGAGCGATGTCATACTTGCAATCAGGTACAACATGTACATGTCAAATACATTTACACGCATGCCGTTTGTTTCCCGTTAAAGAGGCGCGGCGACATGGACGGGATCGGGAGCAGCATACAGAAGAAGGTTACCGAACTGGAGCGCATGGCTGAAGTTCTCATTACTGGGGAACAATTGAGGTATGAGATGATTTGCAGCCTGTGGGTTACTGTACCAGCGTGCTCCACAAAGGCAGGCGTGTACGTTTCCTCACTGCTGCTCTTTCTGTACTCAGACCAGGCGTTTGACTCTTATAAATAAAACCACTTGCATTAGTAAAATACTGACAATCGTGTTCATATTTCTAAAATAGTTAAAAGAGTGCGTTGTTTAGCGGGAGGGTTTGCAAAAATAATCCCTGCTTATTGCAAGATAGTTGTCCTTGGCTATTGTTTATCTCGGTGCGATAAAAAGCACACTTAAAATAAAAGGGCGCCTCCTATGCCAGTATGACATAGGGAATTATTTCAGTAATACCGATACGTATTTGCACCCCTTTCTCAAACAGGTTCTGCAGATATGGTTAGGTGGCAGTGGTTCTTTGTCTTTGCACGGGTGCATGTTACGGCAGTATTTTAACTAATCAGTTAAAGCCTATACTGTAGCCTATAGGTGCTGTATTTACATAGAGTTTTTTTGCCGTGAATTTTTTTACTGCGAGTTCATCATTGATGTTTACAGTGAAACCTGAGCATTTATTGTAGTGTTACTGTATGTTTGAAGACACACGTCCCAGTATTTGTATGACGAGTGTGCATTTCTTCTTTTTTACCTTTGTTTATTCATATGCTCGCAAACTGCAAGCCAGAAGTCAGCAATATCGTGCCCTTAAGAAATAATGCAAATTTGACTATCACAAAAAATGTAAACTTGGAAACTGTGGTGGATCATTTTTGAATATTTATCAGGTATAATGTGACACTCATTCGCCTGTTTTTTGCCTGGACTTTATTGGGCACATGTTATATAAATTCTCCATGGTGTAAACACTACATTTTTGCCTTACTTAATTGCTTGAAAGGTCACAGAGCGGGTTTGACATTTTCTCAGTGTTGCAGCAGTATATTTACCTGACTGTGAGGGGCTTGGCACCCCATCCTGAGTTATTCCCTGCCTGGCACCTGTGTCTTCCGGAATCAGGTCAGGGCCCCTTTAACCTTCCATAGGAAACAGGATATGGAAATGAATGAATGAATATTTAACTTTAAGCCATTAAGACATTAAGACATTATCCTTCAACTCTCTGGTCACAGTATAAGGTATTTAATGATCGTTCCACCTTCTGTTGCTGTGAGGACCTCAGCAATCTCCACTGCTTTGTTCTAATAAGACATAAAACAAGAAAATATATAATTTTGCAGACTAGCAACAGAAGTCAAACTAAGTGAGGCACACAGTACTAAATTACCATTTTTAGAAAAAACACCTGCAGACTTTGTTGTAATGAAGTAAAAAAAGCATTAGCGCCACCATTTTTACCTAATGGGAAGTGTGGTAAGCTGGTCCACAGCTCCCAGCACAGAGCGAAATAGGATTTAAAGCCTTTTCCTATATTGCTAGTAACTACATCGATAGTTGCGACTCTGAGTAAAGTTATGAAGCTCAGTACCCTTTAACAGACATACAGGCATAACGTTTTATAAAGAAATCACTGGTCCTAAGCCACTTCCGAGACTGAATATTTGGTAAAGTCTAAATGAGAAGGTGCGTTAGTGTACAACCTGGCCAGAAAGGGCGCTTCCCACCATTAAGGTTTCTGTCTGTTTTTGGAGCATGTTTTTACCAGTTTGGATACCGTTCCAAATTTGTAAAAGCAAATTTCAGCACATATGCCGCTATGAAGTCCTGCCTTTATCAAAAGTCAATGTGAGGAATGGAATCTGTTGGTCAAAATAACAGAGTTTTAAAGTGGCACTATGTACTGTAAGGTGTTGTGCAATAGACCATGTGCCCTTAGAAACTTCTAGACCCTTAGAGACCCTCATGGTAGCTACAAAGTAAATAATTGTCTTGATGAGATTACTAGCTGGTTAAGGAGATATTGAGGTTGGAGATAATTCTGCTTTTGGTATGTTGAGGTGTCTTGGGGCAGACATTTCACCCTGGCCAAACGTTCACAATGAACATGGTAGAGATTTTCCTGGAGAGCGAAAACTCACAGGCAGAATGGGTCCAGGATTAGGGAATGCCACATCCTTCAGAGGGCAGGTCTTCTTCATCTTGGTCTTCTGTTGTCCAGATGAAGACATCATTAGCCTGAGGAGGGTCATTCACTGCAAATAGAAAGGAACACTTATATTTGTCGCTGGTTAGCAGCAGGAGATGGAACCTTCTGGAGACCACAAACATTCTGGGCCATGAATGACAGGAAAACGTTTCTGCTGGTTCCTGCCTTCCTGTCCTACTTGAAACACTGTCCATGAAATACCATCCTGAACATTAAAAATCACAAATTATATCAGGAAAAATATTTTATATTTTATTTAAATTTATATTGATGCTTTGTTTTGAGATTCTTAGATTTTTGTTTTGGCTTTTATACATATTTTATACTTTTTATGCATTTTTATACATAAGAATGAAAAAATAAGCAACAGGCAATCTAGATTCACACAAATATCTTACTCAAATAAACTATTTAAAAATGTAATAACTCGTTAGACAATCCGACTGGATACCCAAGTAGCTGATTCATGACTGTGCAATGTGCCCCCTACTCCAAGCCAAATTAAGCATGATTCTGCAAATTGTGGGAACATCTCGTTCGCTTATCATATGCTTTTCCAGTGAACTGGTTTGGCAAAAATGTAGCTTTGAGACAGAGAAAGCTGCTTGACTTTGCCCTGGTTGTTCTGGCAGGATCTACGTAGTTCTTGCAGCACAGTATTCTAAGAGAAAGGTTCCTGGTTCCCAGGAGATAATTTTGAGGATGGATCTTAATGCAAATATCCAGTAAGACATCCAACTATGTGAAAAGTAATCTGTATGCAGCAGACTGTGAGTACACACAGACGTATTTTGTGCTAGATATCCTGATTGGTGTGACAGTCAAGTCTTGAAAACAAACAGCAGCATTTGGTTGTGAGTTGGTAAGAACGTACAGCATTTAATGCTAGGAATGATGGAATTAGATTGAACAAGAAGTTAGGTTTAAAATGAGATCCCTGAAATATAGAAGGTATGAATGAAATTAATGTGCAATTAAATAATGAAGGCAGCACAGTGGTCAGCACTGTTGAGTGACACCTCTGGGACCTGGGTTCTAGTCTCTGCCAGGATTCCATGCGTGAGGAGTTTGCATGTTCTCCCCGTGTTGTCGTGGGGTTTCTTCCAGGTGCTCCAGTGGTTTGTGACTGTGCCCTGCGATGGGTTGGTGCCCCATCCTGGGTTGTTCCCTGCCTTGCGCCTGTAGCCTCTGGGATAGGTTCCGGACCCCCCCCCAGAATAGCCTAAGCAGTTTCGGAGAATGGATGAATGATCCTCAGGATCAAGTTTCCAAGTGGGGCTTCCTAAGCAATTCTAAGTTCATGTATAAGGTGTAGTTTTAAGATGTCTCCAAATGGCACTTTTCTATGAAAAAGAAACAAGATGTTCAAACCTGATGTGTATTTATTGGTTTACATCAAAAGAAATGCCAGCAGGAATTCAAGTGTACATCATGGGTTAGGGTTAGGGTTAGGGTTAGGTCATGAGTCCCCTGCCTGGTACGTCCAGCTGCGCATGGATTTTATCATGCCCGAAAGTTACTCAGAGTCCTTCAGAGTGATAGCAAGTGTTGGGAAAAAAAGGCTGAACAAATGGAGAAAAGCATTTGGGTAATGTGTCGTTACGCTGGATAACTAGGGATGTCACCTTGGATTGGTGTGCTGAAAACAGCACCCTTACCCGACGCCCTAACGTAAAGTAATAGAGCAAAATGAAATTAAGTCATTCTGTCAGTTCTGCTGGAAATATGGAAACGCCTTTTGCTTTGCCTTGCAGATTGAAGTCCTTTTGAGCAGCAGAAGTGAAACATATCGTTGATTATAGTGGGAGATGACATACGTCTAGTATAGTAGATTTATAGGTTTTCCCCTTCCGGGCTTAAGTTACAGAATGTCCTGAGAGATGACTTGGGATTTCTGTTGAGTACATGGCAGGAGTTTCACTTGGGAATTCTGGGCTCCAGTATAGGAAAAGTCATAATTATATATTTAACTCTCTGCATCATTTTGCGTGTTTTTCTAAAGGTCATAGCAGATTGCATATGTATTACGAGTGATTCTGATCACATATGTGTCCCATGAATGTCGTTATTTTGCCGTAGTTAATCCGTCCACCCATTTTTCATTACTAATTATCCCGTACTGTCACAGTGGGCCTGGAGCGTATCCCAGGAAGCCCAAGGCACCCAGTAAACGATACCAGTCCATCACAGGGTTCCCATGCTCTCTAGGCAGGTACCTGAAAGTTAGCCAGCTTCCAGCCTAAAGTTACATCAGTCACGCCTCATCGGCCCCTTTGGGGACGTCCATCACCTTCAGAGGCGCGTCGCCAGCTCCTGCGACACCAGTAACATCACGTCATGGTGTAAACGGAGACTCCAGGGAATGTCCTCCGAGGCAGAAATCCCCGCGCTGTGACCTGCAGCATATTTCCGTGCCATTCAGGATCTACTTGAGAATTTGAGTAAACTAACCCTAACCCTAACCCTAACCCTAACCCCCTTTGTTGGAAACAGAGCGAGGCATATTTCTGTAGAGAGACCGTTCCAGGTGTTGATGGAGTGTGGGGTTTTTGACAAATATCATTTAATGGAATGACTTTGTGGGGCACGTATTGGTAACAAAATAAATGTTATATACAGATTTGTTATGTTTACATAATGAGTAACGAACAGAACCCTAATCCTAACCCTAATCCTAACCCTTACTGAAGAGCATATGGGACAAAGGGGTGTTTGGCTTAACAGATGCTGTGATCAGAAGGTTGCTGGTTCCTATCCCATGGTCAGAGTGATTTCACCATTGGGCCCTCGAGCAAGGCCCTATACTCCAGGGATGGACTGGCCCTCCTTTCTCAAAAATGAACGTTGCTTTGGATAAAAGCATCTGCTAAATAAATAAAGAATACATGTAAAGGCAGGACTGAAATAGGCCATATTCTCCTTTGGCTGCTCGTGAGTTGGATGGTGTTTTTTTTCTTCAAAATGTCCTGGTAATGAGGTTAAGATGGACTTTGCGTGTCTTGTGCTTCTATATTTAATGGATAAAGGACAGATGATTTTGTGACATTTTGGCTTTTCCTCCAAGCAGCACCTCATCCGGTTAAGTTAAGCTCTCCAATGTTCTTTACTGGATTTGTTAACCACGTGAATCGGTTGCTCCAGATTTCCCTCATTGTTTGACTCACTTCCTGTGGAACAGAATAGAAGTAAGACCTCAGACGAGCAGAATGGAGTTGCCGTTCTCTGTTGTGGCTACTGGAATGCATGAGGACCCATGTAACCTCTGGTTTTTCTGCAAATTGCCCCCTTGGCAGACAACTAGTCATAAAGATATGGCAATAAACCCAAAGCCGAGAGTCTTCAAGAGCGGTTTGGCTGTTCATATGTAATCTGATGCTGAAAAGCAGGCTTTTATTTCCGTTTTTTCAGCTTTGGCCATCTCTCACTATGCAGGCTCCGCCTCCACGAAGGAAAGGTCATCAAAGACCGGAGGCATCACCTCAGGACCTATCCCAACTGTTTCGTGGCCAAGGAGCTGATCGATTGGCTAATAGATCACAAGGAAGCCTCGGACCGTGAGACGGCCATCAAGATCATGCAGAAGCTCCTGGACCAAAGCATCGTCCATCACGGTGGGCCTCCTGGTGGCGACGTCACCGGCTGACGTTCCGCAGGCCGGAATGTTCCAGAAATGGACTCGCTCGCATTTCATTTCCCATCCCGTTTCCATTAATACAGTTTAACTAAATTCAGAAGGGCAACACCCAGACGTGATCTTATACATAATAAATAGGCAGACATTTGCAAAGACCATCGCTCTCTAAGGATCTGCCAGAGGGCTTGGTTTACTTTCGGCAAGTTGGTGCCAAGTGTCAGATTAGCTGATCCAGTCCTTGGCTGCATTTATCGAGCCGCGTTCCAGAAGTGTGCACGCTTACATCTATGGACGGCCTCTCTTTTTTTGTTGCAGTTTGCGATGAGCACAGAGAATTCAAGGACACGAAGCTCTTCTACCGTTTCCGGAAAGACGACGGGACCTTCCCCCTGGATAACGATGCGAAGGTTTTCCTGCGGGGACAAAGGCTATATGAAAAGTATGTTCACATTTATCTTTAAAATGACACTGGAGTAAATTAAAAGTGTTTTAACGTGCAGGCTGACGTGATAAGAAAGCTAATGATAAAATCAATATCACAAAATAAGAGGTGATGAATCTTCTTGCTTGCAGATATTGTACATTTAAAACATCTTTTAGTAAGAGTAGTTAAGAATCAGAAGCATTTCGGACACCCGGACTGTTTATCCAAGCATGCCGAAGACATTTGTAAACAGTCGCGTTTCGGTAAACACGCCGATCCGTGCTCGCCGTTCGATGGGCGTGAGCTGTTTTTGGACAGCTTAAGAGGGCTAATTGTTCCCATAGAAACCCTGGAGTCCACTCGTACATTCTGTCATGATTCCGGCGTGTGCCTGCAACAGCAGGTGCTGTCGGACCGCTGGGAGGTTGGGCACCATGGGAACAACATGGCGAGTGAGCGATCGGAACGGCTAGGGGGCTGTCGCCAGGAACGAGGTTAAGGAGTATTGCTGTTTTACCTTTGAGCGACATACAGAATGGTTTGGGTGAAATATCCATATAGAGTAATAGGGTACAGTAATACAATACTCTAACACAGTAACAGCAGTAATAATAATGACTGTAGGTAGTATTATTATTGGTAGCTGTGTCTTATCGCAAACTGGCACGCACACCCTGTCCGTTGAGTGCGTTGATCAGCGGCGCAGGTTGTGTCACTCTGTGTCACCCTGACAGCCAGTGGTGACAGTTTGACCCCCTGCGCCGAGCCCCGCAGGTCTTTGCGTAACAGGAAGCTTCCCCGTCCACAGGTGGCCATCTGCCAGCGCTGTGTCTGGCTAGCAGCCGCGGCCACAACCGTTTTTCGAAGGGGTCACGTGTAGGCTTTCGCTTCCCCGTAGTTGACGGGGGGTGGGGTGTGAGGGGATCCCTGCCAGGCTGGATCAGTCATGACCTTCCGGCAGTGGTGGAGGAAGTACTGAAGCTTAGTACTTAAGTAAAAGTACAAATATCCTGCAAAATATGTACTCAAGTAAAAGTAGAAGTGCTACATCAACAACCTTAAGTGAAAGTACTAAGTACTTACTTTTAAATTTACTTTAAAGTATTTTTTTAAGTAAAAGTACTCACACAATGGTTTGTCTGAACGTCTGGGGTGTGCCATTTTGTAAAAGAATAGTAGATATACTGACTTACGCCTCTACCGATGTTATTGCTCGTAATAATTACAAGGAACTATACAGTATATGTGTATTGGAAAGTTTGGTGTGCTTATTGTGTGTGCACTCTGCAATACTGTGTGTACCCTAACTTAGAATTATGTGGATGACAAGTTATCTACTAGGTATCACCCACTAATATACCATTAAGATAAACCATGTTGAATGGGTCCATGTCGAATGTCTCGTCTTCTTGAAATCAAGCCAGTCTACCAGCTCGTGCTGCCAATTGACGTGCGCTCTGCCATCATTGGAGCTAATAAAGCCACCTGATTGGTAGGAAATGGCAAACAACGCCAGAACGCAATAGGCTAACTATTTTTTCATGCAAGATTTTGAGGAAATTGTGTTCATAAAATGTAACGACTAACGGCATAAATTATAGAAATGTAGCGGAGTAGAAAGTACAGATAATTGCCGCAAAATGTAATGGAGTAAAATAAAAAGTATGCATTATTATTTTTACTTAAGTAAAGTACAGATACGTAAAAATGTACTTAAGTACAGTAACGAAGTACAAATACTTTGTTATATTCCACCACTGCCTTCCGGAAACCTGGAAGGACAGAGAGAGCACCTAGTCCGGTGTCTCCATGTGACCATGGCGCTGTGACCACACTCCCCGCCGATTCCCTCGCACGGCCATAACTGAGCCGTAATGCAAAGGTTGCAGAGTCGCTGCACTTTGATTGATGAATATTGTTTCCACAGATTCCGATAGGATTGGGGGGGGGGCTGAGCATCTTACTCGATTTACATTCCACTGTGTGTGACTCATGGGTAATAATAGGCCTCTGAATGCAGTGTCTGGCCCGCTCTGGGGAGCCCAAACTGCCTGATTTTATCTGGACACATGAAAGGGTTTACGTATCCTGTGCATTGGTATTATTCCCCCCACAAGGAGGCTGTGTTTTTCTGAAGGCTGTAAATGCCAAACTTTTATTTTCCTCAGGCAATTCTCAGTTCATTAAACTTCTCAGTTAAACTAAAAATAAGATCCTTAAAATATAGTATACAGTATCAGAAAGTAAGTATAATTACATGAGGCTCAGTATTACTGAGTTACCTTTCTACTGTGAACCAGAAAAGAGTTTGGCAGTTGAAATGTAAATCATACCCAAAATGAATAATCGTGTTTTTCACGCTGGATATATTAGATTAATGAGCTGAAATTTGTTGCGAATCTTTGTTGTCATTAGACTGGGGATAGTTTGTACCTCGACTAACGCTGCCTGGCATGTTGGCCTCGGTGACGTCATCACCGAAGGACTGTCATGCGGCGATGGCTTCATTAACCTGCCAGGAGGGCGTCTGCTACTGTCCGCCAGTTGGCTGTTAGTCACACGGTGTCATGTGACGCCTCGCGGGCGAGCTGGCTTCCCCCGTGTTTTGGCGCGTCTCTCCCCGCTCGTGACTGGCACGTGAGATGTGCCCGTCCCGCGGGTTAGCTAGCAATAAACGCTAACGATACTCTGGTGTTCCCTGAAGTTACAGTCTCGCGGTTGGCGGAGGTCATCTTGCGAAGGCTCAGTCTGTAGGATGGCCCAGCTATGATTGCACCAAATAGACCTGATTCAGGTCTTTCCACCATCACCTGTCTGAGGTGCAGAACTTCCACATAGTTGCACCACTCAGCTATTAAAGGGATCCATTAAAACAATACCTAGTTAGGCCTGTTGTTTGGCACTTTTGTTCTGGATGTGAGGTGTTCAAATACAGTCCTTTTGGTCAGACTAAATAGCCGAAAGCCACAAGTTACAAGTGGGATGGATTTAAGGTGAGGAGAAAACACACCCTGCGATTGCTCAAGTGTACATAAATTGGCTTTAAACATCATCGATGGTTAGAATCGGGGGTACCTAGCTGTACATGGGATGGTGCCGTTAGTAACGGAGAGTTTTGTTGAAGCACAGAGTAACGTTACTTGCGCCTGTGGCCTACAGGCTGCTCATACTCTGGTAAGCTCGTGTTTTTACTTTCTGAGAACTCCTGGTGGTTCATGTGAAAAACTCGTTTTTCAGGACAGCCGTTGAAAAGTAGCTGTTTTGCTTGCATTCTAACCGAAAAGCAAACTGGGAAACCTTGAGAACCAGACCATCGGCCTCGTCTCTTTGTCTCTCGCAAAATGAAGGCTTTATTTGTGCCCTTGATGACTGATTGCAGACGAGTAAAGGGGGGTGTCCCCTGGCCCTGCTCCCTCCGACATCTCAGTACCCTCCCCGCATCTTACAGTTTGCCTGGATTCATTTACTGCGGGACGTATTCAGAATACACCCGACACCTGTCAGTCTGGCTCCAGATCTTTTGACTATGTGCTGTGAAGTAACCAAGCAAGCCAGCGTTTCAGGGAAGGACGTCAGGAAGGGAATAGCTGAGGGCTGAGGTGCTGTACACCGAAGGAGCCGTTTTTTCCATTAATTCACTCCTTCGCTCGTGCTGCCTGTGAGTTTGCAGGCGAGGCTCGGAGGCTGTAAATCTCCCGCTCTGATGCTGAGGAATCGTTTGCCAAGGTGATGTCGCATGTGTCTCCAGAGCTGCATTTGGTACAAGATGCGCTTTTAATCTTCTTTTAAATTAGCCGCTCTGTACCAGAAACGTCAGGGTGGGCGAGTTGTAATCCTGATAATTGCGGCAATAAAGTAATTAAGAGCTGAGGCAGAGCGAGTGGCGATAATTAAGAGCAGAGCTAGGATTGGTGATCGACGGCCTGAGGTTCGGCCAATTGCTTCTCACCTCCCCTGCCGTGTTGCCCCCCCCCCCCCCCCGCAGGCTGATGGGCATGGAGCACAGCCCGCTGCAGAGCCGCGACGAGGACGGGGCCACCTTCGAACGCTCGCTGGCAGGCTCCGACTTCGTAGACTGGCTGCTGCAGGAGGGCGAAGCGGCCACCAGGGTGGAGGCAGAGCAACTGGGCCACAGGCTGCTGGAGCACGGGATCATCCAGCATGGTGAGGTGTGGGAGGGTGGGACAGGGCTGGGCCAGATGGCACAGTACTGGTGAAATGTTTCCGTCGACTGGACTGTGTGAAAATACAGGCCGTGTTACGCCATTCCCATTTACATTTCCTGCAGATGTCAGAATACATTGGGAGCCCTGTGTGCATCAGTGGGTTGGGTTGCGGCTCCTGGTCAGAAGGTTGCCTGTTCAAATCCCAGGGTCGGTAGAGTGATTTCGCTGTTGGGCTCTTGAGCCAGACCTGTAACCCCCAATGACTCCAGGGATTGGCTGACTTATATCCCTTTCCACAAAGTCATCTGCTAAATAAACATGTTTAATATATGACTGTACGTTTTTGCCCGTGTGAAAAATAACTGGCATCGGCTTCACTCATTGGCCTTGAGGGCGGTAATTGACCTCGATGGTCCCTCATGAACCTTCTTCAGTAAACAACCATTTCTTCGCTTCTCAGCCCAAACATCCCGGTATCCTTCACCTACCTCTGCAGGCCTTTCGATTTTCCTTGGGTCAGGATTTCTTCGAAATTGAGACGCACCTCGGGGTCTCTGCTACGCACTGCGTGAAGCTGTAACGCAGCACCTTGCAAATTATATCACGCTCCAAATGAAGTCTGTCAAAGCCAATAAACACAGTAACTAGAATCACAGTGTGTTAAGTCTGTTTGTTTTTCATGCGCGTGACATTTGCATTTGAAGTTACTGAAAATCAGACGTCAGGTCTCTGTGCGCTGGACTGCAGATGGTCGGCTGAGGAAAATGCCAGTTTGTATGCTATGTATTCATTGTTGTTACTAAGTTATCCTGTCGCTTAGCAGATGTAGCTCTGTTTGTGTGTTTCTGTGGGGGTGTGTTTGAATCTTACAGATAAATTTTAGGAGGATTTGTTTAAGGGCACTTGTCGTAAACACGTTACAGTAAGTGTGTTGAATGCGGTAGGCAGACAGAGTGTGTCAGAGAGACCGCATGCTTGCTGTCTCTGTTTCCTATCGTTACGTTTTTCCTGATCTTTGTTTAACGTTGGCGGAGCCATGTGGACTGACAGTCAGCGACAGATGTGTGAGCTGGGCACTGACTGCGTCCGCCGCCGTGGCAACACCTGGTCTCCGGGTTACCGATGGAGGGGGGGCTCTGCTGCTCGGCTCTCTGACGGAAACTTCTGCCCCTTTCTGGCCCCCTGAAGGACGTAAAGAGGGGGTCGGCGGGTTTCGAGATCGCTCTCCGGGCTGTGTCTGCCCCAGCGCGACGACCCGCGTCCTTTAATTACAAACAGTGGCCATCTGTCGCTCAGTGATCTCCTCCAGCTTCGATCGAGATTCCCTGGCAACCCCTGTAACTGTCAGGCGCTGAATTAGACGGCCGAGTTGGATGGGTCCTCCTATCTATTTTCGGCCTTCCCTCCTGATTTCTCTGTTCTCTGTTCTGTGTTCTGTGTCTCTTCCTGGCTGATTACCGTTCGGAGTGGTGTCTGGCCTCAATCGATATTTTGATCTTTAGGTGTCCATTCTAGAGCAGATTTCAATTTTTAGCTAAATTTTTTTTCTTAATTCAACTATAATGTCTTTATTGTCTTCCAGCAGGACACGTTTTCCTACGTGAAAACAAAATCTGTGATAATTTGATTTTTAATTATTCATAACATATTTACTCAGAAGAGTTGACTTACAATATATGCATGATGTACAGTATGAGTACGACTTGCATATGTATATAAGCAGTTGTCAGAAAATATACAAAATGTAACATGGAAACATACCTGGTTACTGTAGTGCTCTTGAGCTGCGCTTTCTAGTAGTTCAATCGTTTTTGGCTGGGGTGTCGTACCAGGGAAGGGGTGATGTAGGGGGGGTGAATCGGAAGTGTTTGTGGAGCGGTGTGTTGCTGGTTCTGTGCCTGTGTTCAGAATGTCATGGGTTCAAATCCCATGGCAGGTAGAGTAATCATCGTGGTAATCATTGGAGCAAGACCCTTAACTCCAACTGCTCTTGGCTTCAGCTGCTTTGGAAGAATGTGTCTGTGAAATAAATTAATGGGAATAAATGTCATAAATCCCTGTATGGGACTGGGTGGTGCTCCTCTTCAAGTGTTCCAGAGTCAGTCTGGGGATTTTGATGACCCTGAGGTTCTGTCCTGGAAACCAAGACTCGAAGGTCTTGCTATTTCACTCCGAAAAGCGACCTGGGATCCGTTTCAAAGCCGTGACCTTCACGGCATCTCCTTGGGGCTGCTGGCTGAGTTTTTTACCCGAGGGCGATTCTAACGGAGCTCCTCGCGATGGGTATTGACGCGTTCCGCTGGGAGGGAATCGGCCGCTTTCTTTTTCCAGGCTGCTCCTAGGGGAATAATCCCTCGTCGGAGCGTGTTTTCCTTGGCTTTGATGTGCGAACAGAAACCTGGGTGGGGGCTACGCTATCATTAATGGGGACACAATAACTCAAAAGCAACACGCTGCTAGTTTGGCTAACGGCTCCGCACTTTCACACGAGGCCTGTCAGGACAAGCAAGTTTTCCAGTGTACAGGTTTTGAAATATCAGATATTAAACTCAGTGCCTGGACTTTTGTTCTCTGTCACTGTCTGTGTACCGTGTGTGTGTGTGTGTGAGTGAGTGTGGGTGTGTTTTTGTGTTTAGTGGGGTGTAGCTCGTCTCGCCAGGCTCTGTCACAACCTGCAGGACGGTGGGGGCCAGAGAGGGAGAGAGGAGGCCCACTTCCAGGCACTTTCTGAGTGACAGTTGCAGCTGGCCTGTATGTGGGAGGCGAGGGGGGGGGCTTTACCCCCCTCCCAACGAAAGCAGCCCCACGCTCGCAGTTTTGCATCCTCATTTCCAGAACGTTCATCTGGAGCGCATTATATGCGGCCAAATGGCCCTCCAGCTGAAGCTGGTAGCATTTGCTGTGTTTACTTTGCGTTGTGTTTGCCTGCCGGAGGCTCGGAGGGAAGGAAATCTCGCATGGTGTTTCTGCTCGAGCTTTCCGCTGCGCTAATGGCCGTATTTTTGCGACTTCCATTGTAGTCATAAAAGCTCATACAGTGACTTCGTAAGAGGTGTGAAGTTAGTTTCCTTCACAGCTCAGCTGCACACACTGTATCTTACAAACATTTCTGTGTTATTCTTAGTTACACTGTGTTGCGCAATATGTATGATTTATAGATAAAATCCTTAGGATTCCTTTCTTACTTTAGCTTTTCCGGATTGTAAATGTAATTAGTCTAACTAGATAAACTAAATTAGGTCTGTTTTTACAGGAAATATCCAAGTTTGGATATTCCCAGGTGTGGTATAAGAAGGTCATTGTGTAATTACGGATCTGTACTATTGGGACAGCCGATCAGGCAAGCTGTTGGAGATTAGCGACGTTATGGAGACCAGGCAAGGGAGCAAAGACGGTTTGCTGGCATGTGCCGATGACATTGATCAGGAAGGCGCTCGCAATGGAGTCTTCCCTTCGGATCATTGCCGCTGCCCCTATCTTCCATCTCTTGTCGTTCAAAATGGTATGCAAAATAAACATTTTGCGAGCAAAGAATCAAGGTTCATGATCGGAATAAGGTGAGGTTAAGTAGCACTCTGCCGCTTCTTTGCGGAATGATTCTGAAGTGAGCTGTTGGTTGAGTTTGTAGGTTGTCGGAACATCCTGTCTCATTCTGTTTTTCCAGTGGTTAGATCAGTTAAGGCTCTGCGGAGAGAGAAAAAAACATTATAATACCTCTTGGGATAAGAACATCCGGCTCGCCTTCGGGCCAACCTTAGGGTCCCTTCGCAGATTCGGGCCGGATAGCGAGCCTGGATGTCAGGCGTGTGGCTTTACGCTGCATGCAGGAGGCCGCAGATCTGCCCGTTTGTTTGCAGATCAACCGACGGCTCACATCATACGATAATATGCATTAATCTCTTAACTCCAGTTGCTCCACGGACTGGCTGACCCTGCTGTCTCCATCGTACGTTGCTTTTGACAAAAGCATCTGCTAAATGAATCGTTGTAAAAGTGATACAAAAACATGTTCAGTGCATCTCAGGCCGATAAATCCCTGTTGGGTCAGGGCTGATACTTATTGTAGCATTTGATGGCCACTGGGAGAAATGGCCTTAGATAGCGCTCACTGGAGCAGTGCAGCTGTGTGTGTCTGACGCTGAATGTGCTTCTCTGTTTGACCAGGGTGTGATGCAGGGGGTGTGAGGCATTGTCCAGCACGGAGCAAATCTTCTTCAGTGTTCTCTTTTGGACGGTTGTTTCAGAGGACTCCAGGTGGATTCCCAGAACAGAGGCAGCCTTTTTAATCAGTTTATTGAGTTTGGTCGAGTGCCGTCTTGTAGCGTTGTTGCCCCAACACACCACAGCATCCACAGACTGGTAGAAGTATGCACTAAATTATCCTGAATTATTCACATCACTCCGTTGCTAACGTTTACCTCGGAGGAAGGAGCGTCACTTTGGGGGAAGTCCCAGAGGGGCATGTTGAGTATGGATGTGCAGAACACTTGAGGGACCTTTGCGATTCCCCCCTTGCAGTGACCAGTAAGCATCACTTCATGGACGGGGGGCCTCTATACCAGTTCAGGATGAACTACCGCCGCAGACGCCGCCTGATGGAGCTCCTGAACGAGCGGTGTCGCGCCATCGCGGAGAGCCAGGACAGCCCCTTCTGCCTCCGCAAGCAGAACTCCGACGGGGGGAACACCAGCTTCCTCTCGGGTAAGTACAGCCCCCTCCACCCCCGTCCGAAACCTCCAGGGTGTCTCGACAGTGACGTGGCACCAGCCAAGGTGACCCCGCCACACCATCACCGGGTTCCCGTCCTATGTACAGCAGAGTCTGTCCTTCCTCGACCCACTGGTACCGGTCCATACCCACACGCTCAGGCATCAGTTATTTCTGTAAAGACTTGCCCTTCTTCATACTGCTGCCTCCCCACACGAGTGGTAATGCTCTTTGGCAAGTTCCCAAGGAGCTGACTGAAGGTAGCTGGTGTTTGCCAAAAAAATCCCAAGCCTCCTTTGCCCTATTTACAGCATCGGGGGGGCGCCACCTTGCCCACGTGGCCTGTTCTCCATTTTGCGAGCTCGGCTCCTCGCATTGGCGCCCATGCTTATCGCAGGAATCGGCCCCAGTCGCTAAGGCCTTGTTGTTAAGGAATGCATATGTGCATACATAATGAGGGTGGTCGGGTGGGGGTCGTCTGTGGCGGTAAACTCTTTGCTGGCGGGATGAGGCGCCTCAGCAGAAGACGGTGACTTAAACCAATCGTGTCAGCTGCATTAGCAGCTCTAAATCTTTAAATCCCTGAAAGAAGCACTTTCAAGGAAGGCAATCCATCAAAATATAGGGTGGGGGACAAAGGAATGTTCTTCAGCTTAGTTCTGGGAGCCCCCCCCCCCCGTGTGTATTATATTAGGCCCTGAGGCATAGTCACCTGCAGGCTCACAGTCCCGGGGCGGATTGTGTTCTTATAGTGAGGAAGTTACACGTGCTGAATCTATCCAGTGAGATTCACAGTCACATGGATTAGTAAAAAAATGTCATCTGTGTAAGAGTGTCTGAATGTATACATATGTAAATGAGGCTCTTTGTCAGCTTGTTTTACCACGGGGGGGGCAGAGGGAACATGTCCGCAGGGTGTTCATGTGACTATGTAGTACCGAGCATGGTGTGTATAGTGTATGGGGTGAGTCACGTGACCCTCATTGTCCCCATTGATTGATGCCCCTCCTCCTCCTCACACAAAGCGAACGTATCATATGTTGCACTGGTGCACCTGAGTATTACAGTGACTGGACAGAGGGAAAACTAACTTAGAGTTTTTATTCACATTTTTAGCGTTTGTTTTATACGTAAGCAGCCTGGGTAGGGCAAATTATTATGATTATTATTATTAATAATCATAATTATGTATTATTATCATTATTATTATTCATAATAATGATAATAATAATAATAATGAAGAATTAGAATTAGAATTTAGAATTTGGTGATCAGTGGTCATTGTTGACACACCATAGCACACAGTGCACAACAACGAAAAGTGTCCTTTGCATTTAACCCTTATGTGACATCATGGCATAGCTGGGGGCAGCTAATTCAGCACCCGGGGAGCACACAAGAATCACACGGGAAGATTGTGTGATTACAATTTACAGAAGACATGACCATCCCAACACTATTTTTCATTGAAATTCCACCTTTTGAGGGTGCCTACCTCTTCTGGGTCTAATTGTTTATTGTAGTAGATTGACTGGTTGTATGACAATGGGTTTGGCATGTTCTTCCCTCTTTTCTTTGAGGTAGTCCAGTGTCTTCTCTGGCACCGAGGTTAATTGGCATCTCGGTGCGTGGTGGTGCGCTGGACTGGCATCCCATCCCAGCCACCCCACGCCCCCTCTGCCCTCTGCTGCCTGACTCCTGGCCCCAGTCACCCTGTAGCGGATCAGTGCCTGGAAGATTACGCGGTACAAGCTGGCTGGTACTTGTAAGGTTAATTGTACCATGCAGGACCGTCCGTGTGCTGCCCTTTAATAAAGGTCAGCATGCTCTGCTATCCTGAGCTTTTTAACAGATACAGAAGACAGCAATTACCCTACAGTTAAACCTTGAGGCATTTTTGCACTTGCCCCCGAGAGGAAAGAGTTTCCTTAATCAGGGAATTAATTAAGCAAGAATAAATGTATTTGTAGTGCTTTGTGAACACTTTCTGTCCTCCAGTCTCACATCCATCCATCGTCCACACTCACTAATTGATTGCAGAGTCATGCTAAACCTAGATTCTGCCCAGCCAGCAGAGGGCACCCTTGGTAGGATGCTACCTCACTCCAGGGCCCACACTCATACACTGGGGGTAATTTAGAGTTACAACATGATTTTGGGTGCTGGATGGAAACCTGGGGAAAGACTGTACAAGCTCCTCACAGGGAGCTGGAGGGCAGGATGGGAACTGAACCTGCTAATCGCTGTGTGACAGGTTGGGTACAGTGATGGGTGATGAACACAGTGACCAGCTAACAGGGAGTGGTGCTTAGCATACCGCCAGCCGCGCTTAGCGTACCGCCAGCCGCGCTTAGCGTACCGCCAGCCGCGCTTAGCGTACCGCCAGCCGCGCTTAGCTTATCGCCAGCCGCGCTTAGCGTACCGCCAGCCGCGCTTAGCGTACCGCCAGTCGCGCTTAGCTTATCGCCAGCCGCGCTTAGCATTCATCAGCGAGGGCTGCACATTCCCACATGTGTTTTCATTTAAAGTCCTGCCAACAGTCTCAGAGTCAGACCTCTGGGTGTGACAGAGTGGCACGGGCATGGTGGACTTCAGACTCAAAGATAAACTGATTTTATATTGTGTGGCGAGCTAGCGTGACTGCACTTGTTTTACGATTCTTCTCTTTGAATGAATCCCAAAGATAAGACCGATTGCTTGTCAGATTTGTGATGTTGTAGATAAGAGGAAAAACAAGACTGAAACAACAAAAAAATGTCATTTACAGTCAAAGAAAATGTTTAAAGCTGTTTATTTAGCTATCCATCCACCCATCCATCCATCCATCATCCAGCATTTATCTCTTGCCGGGTCGTGGGAGCAGCAGTCTAAGCAGGGATGCCCAGACCTCCCTCTCCCCAGCCACCTCCTCCAGCTCCTCCAGGGAGAGATATAATCTCTCCAGCATGTCCTGGGTCTGGCTTGGGGCCTCATTCCGGTTGGATACATGAACTGATGTTCAGTGCAGAGCCCGTATCCACTCAGTCGAAGAGTGAACTCCAACGTCTTGGCGCCGAATCAGTGGGCTATGAGTAGACTCTTACCTATCCAGTGCCTCTCACCAAGGATGACTCCACAGTAGAACAGAGTCCAGCTCCGCTCCAGGAGTGATTGAGGTAAATCGCTGAAGCTGCACGATGTTTTCATGAACGTCACAAGGTAGCTTGTGTGTTCCTTATTACAGTATGAGCCATTGTATTTAACCTGATTTTTTTTATATAGTATTCTTTATGACTGTCTGCAAGTTGGACGTTTTTAACACAGGAACTGCCTGTATATTTGCTCAGCTTAACATGTAATAAGAATTTCTTCTGTTCTCTAAAATGTCACTCATATCTAGTTGGACGTCTAGAAGAACACAGCTTCAGTTCCCGAAGCTCTCCTCAAGGGCAGCCCAGCCATTCCACATATACCTCAAATTTCATTTCAAGCTCACTTTTATAAATGAATTAAATTAATTTTAAAAAGTCAATGAGGTACTGACTAGCCATACGAGGTGTCCTAGTGGGCGAGTCAATAAATGGACGCATTTGATGGTTACTTCAAATTCTTGACATTAGGAGAGGTTTTGATTTGGCTAAACTGACACACTTCGACAGCCATATAATCATAGTTTCACACCAGCATGAAGATCACTTCGACACATTGGTGAACCCGTGGTGTCATTCTGGCAGATAGGAAGGTGACTGGGCGCTGGTTTCCCACTATAGACGTGAAATCTTCCCTAACTTCTGCATAGATCATAATAGTGGGATAGCTAAGCCATCGGATTTCCTGTTTTCTCAGGACCTGCTGTGTTTCTTCTTACTTATTTGCACTACATCCCTAACTGGGCTCCGTTGGGATCTGGCTGTTAGTGTCCCTCAGAGAGACGGCAGGCTCAGTGAGACCAGTATCCGGACAGCATGGTTTGTATTTGGTGTAGCTGCTCTGTTTATTTTAGCAGTTTGACTAGGGAGGGGCTTAAAATTCTCGCAACATGTTTCCTATCAGTGTGACACGTCCCAGGTCGTTCCAGAATTTTATAGATTGTTCCAGGTCATTCCGTGAGTTCTTAGAAAGCTTTTCAGCTACTGGCTGTATTCTGTGTGGATTGTACCATGGCGTCCTGCAGTTCTGAGTAGGGTTACCAGTTAGAAGATGGACGGAGGAATTCAAATCGTGCTAAATTTTTCTCTTTATCTAATGTCACGAGGCTTGAAGAGAACCTTGGTGTTGCTTCATGAAGGAAGGTTTCTCAGTTTTTGCATTTTTCATGGGGTGTGGACCAGTTAAATCTGGGCACTGGGTGTTCTTTTTTGGCAGGTAGGTTAAAAAAATAAGCGAGAGTAGGAAGAAATATTTCTGCGAAGGGTGGGATGGTGAAGTGGGAGCTTGCAGGTCCAGGTCCAGCTGGTTACATGCTAAAAGTCTGATGGAAAAGCATGTAGTTACGTTCATGTCGTGTTCCTGTGCCTCTGTGGAGCAGTCAGTGAGTGTGTTGATAGGCATCTTTGTAAGTGAGATTTTCAATTCGACTTTAGTCTGCCCACACATACATATATGTATGTAACATACACGTATGTAACAGTTTTATTACCTTGTTACCAATGTTTTCCAACCCGGTCCTCGGGGTTGGAAAAACACATTTTTGCTCCCTCCCAGCTCCCATCAAAATTGTGGACTCTCTGGGAGGGAGCAAAAACGTGCACTATGTGTGGGTCCCCGTCTGTAGAGTTTTGCAAACTCCCCCAACACTTTTCAGGTAGCGAAGTTTAGGTGTATAATGGAATAATACAGATTTGCTGTATGATTTCTTGCACGAGCGTGAGTGTCATGCCAGATGCATGACAGTTGGCGACCCGCTTCATGCCACTTCAAAGGAAACATCTCCAGCCTTTGTTTCTGCTCCCTGTCCTGTCCAGTGATTCACTGCAGGACATGCCGGCCTTTTGGCAGCCAGGTAGCTGCAGCCAGTCACAGGTAGCTGCTACTAAGAGGCGCTAACAGAACCATAGACGCTGAAGACAATGTTGACGCGCTAAGTGTCGCTAATCTTATTCTCTGTGTATCCCGGTCTGATCTGACTCTGTCAATCAGAAAGGTCATTTTTAATCTCAGTGTGCTGTGAGTCATGCTGGGGGGGGTGATTAGTCATGTTTCAGCCCTGAACTGAAAAAAGGTGAAATTAGGTGCAGCAGGAAGGCCCTTCTCTTAGCAAACGGCCTCTGAGCGAGTCCCTGCAGGACTGCTGCTGTCGCTGTGCCTTATCGCAACGCGTGACTGTCCTTATGGTTGGTGAATTCCCGAGAGATATACAGCCATCGGCTTCCTCAGGAAGTTACTCTTCCCCCCAGATTTTCAATTTCAGCAGCTTTCTCAGAGAGGTATACTTCTACATTTTTAAAGACTTTTCTGAATGCGGTTGATTAGTGCGGATAGGAATCAAAATAGCTACCTAAGATGTTGCTTGCGTAATGCATGCTCGTCGGTGGAAATGAAGGCAGTATGCATCTGTGCATTTCTTTTAGGGTAGTTCTCTTTTGAGATAACGCCCCCACCCCCAATAGAGGGTAACCCTTGAAAGTGAATAAAATTCATTGAAACCATGACAGAAAAACGTCCTATTTTCTTAAAAATATGCTAAATGAAACCGAAAAGAAGAAGTTGCCAGAAAAATTTGAACGTGCACGCGCTTGTGCACTTGTGCGCTTGTGCGTGTGTCTGTCAGTGTGTGTATGTCGGAAATTAGCGGCACCCCTTCTGCCCCCAGTATCCATGACACCCTGTGACCCCACCCACCTCTCTCTCTCCTCCAGTCAGCCCCTCCAAGGAGATCAGGGTGGTGTCGGCGGTGCGGAGGAGCAGCCTGAGCAGCAGCTGTGGGAGTAGCGGGTACTACAGCAGCAGCCCCACCCTCAGCAGCAGCCCCCCCGTGCTGTGCAATCCCAAGTCAGGTGAGGAGCAAAGGGGGCCCCCCAGGGCCGCCACGCTGCTGGAGAAATCGAAGGGAGTCCTTAAACCAGTGTTTTCCAACCCGGCCCTCGGGGACCCGCAGACGCTCCACATTTTTGCTCCCTCCCAGCTCCCATCAGAATTGTGGACTCTCTGGGAGGGAGCAAAAACGTGCACTGTGTGTGGGGCCCCGTCGACCGGGTTGAGAAACACTGCTGTGGGATGATTGTTGAGCAATTTGGTGGTTTCTGAGTATCACTCAGTGCTCCTGAGTTACGTGTTACGACATCGGGATGGAGAGGTCAGCACTGTGTCACGCTGACTCTCCACTGAAGCGATAAGCCCCTCCCTGGTCTCCGGACTGGTGCAGTATTCTAAGGGGCTGCCAGTCCCAGAGGGTTTGGTGGGGGGGGGGGGGGGGGGGTTGATTAATTTCCATATATAAACTAAAAATATCCCATATATTTTGAAACCACGCCTGATTTACAACCCCTGACGTCGCCGCATCCTGAGCGCATGAAAACAACAAATGGAAATGGCGAAACTTATTAAATCTGGCCAATTGATCCTGGCCATAAAACATGGATCGATTCAAGGTTAACCGCCAGACCCCCCTCCCTGACTGGCTAGTTTTACGACCCCAGGAGCTAGCAATAGTAAGTAAAAGTTAGCAAAGAACTTAGTAAGCAGGTAGCAATCAAGCATTGATGTTGACAGTGTTTTCCTGTTAGTCATGTGTAATCTACAACGACGTTGTACCGGTCACGGTCATCGAAAGGCTGGGAGCATCTACTCTTGAGGGACCTGAGCGCACAAAGGAATAGGTAGGGAGGAAATTCAGGCTCCCCACCATAACGGGAAACAAAAAAGGTCAACAAATATGAAGGCAAGCAAAGAATCCAAAAAATACTGCTGATGTTACACTGGAGTTGTGCGGGACACTGGATCGAAGGGGCATCTTTGTGCTGTGTTTTGGGTGACTGCTTAGGATGTATGCCGTATTTAATAGCGCTGTACATTAGCATGGCTCTGCCAGTCGCCCCCCTTCTTCTGGGGAGGCCTTTGTCTGCTTGTGGGCTGGGATTCTTTGCCACACTGGGGCCCCAGAGCGGGACAGAAAATGGTGGTTATTGTGCCTTGGGGCTGGTGGGCACGCCCCCCCCCACCCTCTGTAAGATGGCATCAGGTTGTAAGTGGGGTTAGCCTGTGATGTCGACGTCTCGAGAGACCCCCCCACCCCCACCCCCCAGTGTGTCAGAGGGGGCAGAAAGCCCAAGCTCATCGGCGAGATCTGATCCACCGGCCGCGTGGTTTCGTTTGCAGTGACGAAGACGTTGTTGGTGCAACCCGACCCCCCCCGTGGAGGAGCGGGTTAGATCATCCCTCGTTAATTACACTGTTACAAATGTCCAGGGTTGGCCGGGTGGAGATCTGTGCACTTTGTTCTGTGTGACCTTTGTTCCATTACCCTCCAAGTGGCTCTGCCAAGTCTCTCAGTGAGGTTGATTCTTTACATTTTCCTCTAACGCTCTTGCTAGTGAAAAATATTCAGGAGGGAGAAAAACGCTCGAGACGTTTCCAGTAAGAGGCAGCGTAGCGAGGGGTACAGAGTGGTTCCATTTCGCTGCCTGGGCTATAAAAGTATTAGCTGTAGTATTTCAAAACCTGGGTAAACAAAAGCACCTAATGCGCACAAAGTGCATTTTACAGATTTCGCACATTAACTTGAGACAGGTCTTAAATTGTTAGTCCTGACAGTCGATCATTAATGTGTCATATACTCCACATAAATCAGTTTAACATGAAGAGAACAGCAGTGTTTTTCCAGCTCCAGTCAGTATATGTACACTCGCTTAATTAAAAATCAAACCGCATTAGTTAAGTGTGTTACGGACACATCTGGTAGTAAGTCACGTGGTTTGGGACAGAGTGGAGTAATGAAAAATGTCTGTGAGTAACCGTCACACTCAGGGCTTGTAGCAGCGTCATGAGCTGGCAGGACTGTGGGGAGCTGAAGGGCCCCCCCCCACAAATGAATGGGTGGGAAGGGCAGTGGCTGCGGCCAAAACGGACACCCCATTCCCGGGGGGAACAGACAGGCTGTTCTGTGCCGGGGGACGTGCTTAGCCGGGGGGCGGGGGCGGGCGTCTGCCCTGGGCCCCTTCCTTACTTAGCTGGGGGGGGTTGGCTTCTCTGGCAGTAGAGCTATTTTGTGGGCTCTCTCTCTCTCTCTCTCTCTCTCACACACACACACACACACACACACACACACACACACATGCATACAAACCATACCAGTCAAAAGTTTGGACACACCCACCCATAGGAAGGTTTATTTGTACTCTTCTCTACATTTTACAATAAAGACATATATAGACATAAAAAACTATAAAATAACATGTATGGAATCAGGCACTGACCGAAAAAACATTCAATAAAAATAATAATAATAATTTATTCGGAGGGGGGGCAGCCTGTGTGGTTTGAGACTGAAAAGGTTGTTGGAGAGAGTGATCCCACCATTGAGGCACTGAGCAAGGCCCTTAATCCTCATTTACTAAATGAAACCGCAAGAAATGGCTAAATCAACAGGCCGCATGTATTTGGGCCTTGACACGTCCTGTGACACCGTTGCAGTGCACATTCATGTGTGTTTCATGCAAGGCTGCGCTGCAGGGAAGATGAGCACGGCAAACACGTCTCACTTACCGAAAACGTCGAGGCATTGTGCATAAACAAACTACGGACACTTAGGAAATTAAACTATATATTTTTCTGTCAGTGTATTTGACTGGGCCGGACCTTGGGATTAGTCTTAGGGAAAAATACAGTGACTAGGTGAGAGCTGGCAGAAAACCAGACGTGCCATGGTGCAGACCGTAATCCGCAGACCTGCACTGCAAACAGCCTAATAGATCACTGGGCTTATTTGCTGCCAATGTTGAATTGAGAGTTTATTGTACTAAGGCATAACTAACTGGAACCAAAAGACAGTCCATATATGGTTATTGAAATAAAAATTTGCACCCAAATATGATTGTTAATGTGATTTAAAATAAAGTGTAGAAATATATGTCTTCCTTCACTGGTAGTAGCTTAAAAAAATTCCTGAATTTGCAATTTTGCCAGTTTCTGCAAAAATTTCCATGCAAAAAGCATGTAGAAATTTTGAGTTGAGCTGCTGCGAAAGCCACCATTTTTGGCCACGACAATCACACAAGAACACGGCGAAATCCCAAAGGCGGGTGCTAAAGATGCTATATTAATATCAGCTATCAGCATATTAATATCAGAAGATATCTTTTAAATAAAGTGTGCAGAGCTGTAAGTTCTGAAGAATTCCAGGAAGGGTTGGGGACGGGTTCAGGAACCTGCTGGTGTCATAACCAGAGGGGGGTGCAGGTTTAAACCTCAGGAAGGGTCCGTAATACCCTTTACCCGTAGTACTGAAGCTGAACTCCTCCAGTAAGGATAGTCAGATGTTTAAATGCAGGCCTATGAAGCCCCAGCGACTTGTACGTTTGGCTGCAGGCCAGCCCGGGGACGGTAGTATATTTTCAGCCCCTTTATGACATGAAGAACAAGAAGGTGTGGAGTGGTCTGGATACGTTCATGTTTACACTGGTAACCAGTATAAGCTCAAATGTTTTTTTTCTCACCGTGTACTTTAGTTCAACAGTGGGAGTATACAGGTTATCGTACCTCATTCTGCTATTAGGACAATTTCTTAAATAATTCCAAAATAAACTGTTTTATCCGGTACTTGTCTCTTTGAATGGATGGAGGATGTGAGACTCCCAGGATATGAGCTTTTTTTAGCTGTCTTTCTGAAGCCAGATAGATTGCTTGTCTCTTCTTATGTTTAATTGGACTTTCTAAATAATATTTATGGTTCCTGCCTGTAGACCAGTGATGGCTACAGATTATTTTCAAGGGAGGTGCACAGAGGGGGCGACAGTAAATTGGTGGTGCTGTGTCTCTGCAATTCTTGGAACAACTAGAATTATAGGTAGGTCACATACATGCCTTTGGAATAATGCTGTTCTGTGTTCTGTAATTGACACCACTCTGAGCTAATGAAAATTGAGGACACATCCAGGGGGCCAATCAGATTTCAATCAGATTTCTGGGGGGCAGTACCAGAAATCCCCATTGGCTGCTTCACTTCTGTGGATACCACTCATCTAATTTGAATTTGGTTATAAATGTGGGTAGCCATTGGCTGCACTTCTCTGCGTTGGACTCAGTCTTTCTGAAAGAGGCCATTCTTCTAAATAATTAGATTTCATCTGATTTTTTAAAATTAAATTAAGAAATACCTCTGTTAAACTGACCATTGGTTTAGCAGAATTTTGAAAACTTCAGTTTGAACCATTAAGTTTGAACTTAAAGAATCTTCCCCCATAATCCTGAGCTGGATAAACAGTTGGAAGATGGATGGATAGATGGATGGATGCTAGACGGATTGATGGATGGATAAAGACTCTTTCTCTGTTTCCTGAATAAATATATTTTTGTAATTAATATTTATCCACCCATCTTCCAAACATGCTCATCCTGTAACAGGTTGCAGTGAGCCTGGAAACTTTCCCAAGAAACGCAAGGGGCAAGGTAGGGGACACCCTGGACGGAACGGGAGGGCAGTCTGCCACACGGTGATCACAGACTGCAGTCTGCCGTTGGCCTGTGGGAAGAAACCCGCGAACATGAAGGAAACCTGAAGCGCACGGGAAAAACATGCCATCTCACACAGGGCGGGGCGGGACTGACACGCACACGTGACCGTGGGTGTGTGTAGCTGCGGTTCTGCTGCTGTTTGACATGCGGCTTTTCAGTTTCGTGTCTTTCAGTGTCTTGCATTGATTGATGTGCTGCATTATTGGTAAACAGAGCCCTAAAGCGTGTGATTTATACTGCAGGCCAGTAACCATCAGCGTTTCAGTTATTCTTCTGACAAAGACGATGACCGTGATGTCCGTCTTCGCAGCCCGGCGACGTGAATGACGCTAAAAGTCCCTCTTTCATTACTATCCAGCCGCGCTATTCAGACTGTCATCTCAGCTTTAATGGCAACACTGTGGCTTTCTGTGTGTGTGTCCCCCCCCCGCCCCCTGCCCGCAGTGCTGAAGAGGAGAGTCAGCCCCGAGGAGCTGCAGACCCCCGGGGGCCCCTACATAAAGAAGACATTCACGGTATGTTTCCCGCGGGCCGCACTCCTTTTAGACACAAAGAGGGCTTTAAGGTGGCCGGGAGCTGCGCCGCCGCAATACGCCTGCAGGGGGCGCTAACGTATCCGGTGCTAAATGAAGGGACAGATGAAGAAACTGGAACCGTTTTGCTAATCGGGCCTGTTGGCAGGTTCAAAAATAATAGTCTGTGTTGCTGGGTTAGGAAGGGCGCTATTTAAAAATAAAGTTAACTGTTTGCTTGCTCATGTTAAAAGCTTATATTGGAATGATTCCACCCCGCATGTCAGTCCATCACCCTCCGTCGACACATTTCTACGCTCATTTCTTCTCCCTGGTTGTTTGCACTGCCTGGTTTTTAACGTCATCCCGTGTTAATGCTTGACTTTATCACGTTTATTGTGTTTGCTTCTGTCTCTGTCATCTGATGCATCGGTGTTTTTTTTTTATTTCGACGTTTTTATCTGTTTATTTGGTTTGTACAGCACTTTGGCGCAGCCGTATAAATAAGCAAGACTTGACTTGGCGTGACTTAAGAGAGGGAGGCCAAAAAGCGCACGGGAGGGGGGGGGGGGGCGTCTATAATGGCGGGCGGCT